GCTTTAATATTCTATTCTCTCTTGCTGTCTCATTGACATCTATTATTCTTATATTAAGTTTCTTTACATTGTCTTATAGCAGCAGAATTATTATTGCATGGTTCCTTGTTAGTTTTAAGAGACCTTTACTTTCACGTTCATTAGCTGCATCACTGTCTTTGAGGTCTGAAAGTTTATCTTCAATTTCATTCAAGTGGCTTTTCCAGTTTTCAGTGGAGTTCTTAATTTCCTGGATATGTTTGAAACTGTTTCATGTATTCTAATTCTTTCCCGTTTGTTAATTCAGTATTTCCATCAGTTTTTAATTTTCTTCTCTCTTTTTTTTACTTATTTATTTTTTCCATACTTTTATTGGTAAATAAATAGCAATGAGATAGTTTCAAATCAAATTGGTAGGACAGTTTCAATAATTAACACACTGCATACATTCTTCCTAGTGGTTAATTGCTGTACAAGATGCAGACATGATATCCTATTTACAAACACTATTAGAACAAATCCCTCCATTCATTAAGAGAATGTAACTATATATCTATCCTAACCTCTTTAAATACACAGATACAAAATGGACATTCATCTGTATCCCCCCCTTTTTTTTTGTTAAGTTCCATTATTTGAATATTATAGGTGTGTAAACTCAGCAAAATATTCTAAAAGAGTCCAGTAGTCCATAATGGTATTGGGTCTTCCCCTTGACTGGCAATGTCAGAAATTGTTGACCTGAGTCCCCTACAGCTCAGCATAACAGCATGGCTTTACCTCTTATATTTCATTTTTATACTTTTTGTTGGATGGTTAAGACCAAGGTAAATCAGGACCTATGCAACAAGAGTTGTAGCTTTTGGGTCTGATAAAGTCAGTGAAATCCCCTCAGGATTTATCCTGAGATCCTGTACCTCAGATTGTAGATCCTTTGTCAGTGTCAGTCATGTGGATGAGTCACGGCCATTGCTTGGCCAGTGTGTTCTCTGTGAAAGCCTGAGAGAGTGTCTTCTCCCCATGTGACTCTCCTTAAGCACACTCTACATCATGGATCATTTTCCTCTTTTTTCTTCTCTTTTTTAATGTGTGTTTTCTTTAGCTGTGCTGAGCAATTATTTCATGATTGTTGTCATTTCCTTTTTGACCTGAAGATTATTTCTCATCTTATTTCTTCTATAGCCTGATGGACTTGTTTCTTTACTTCAGTTGCTATCATTTCAGAAATTTCATGTGTGTGATTTCCAAGTTCTTTTATGTTCTTGTCTCCTGGATATTTTTCTAGGTGGGCTGGAGGATAGAGACTGACTTTTGGTCAGACATTTTGGCATTTTTAAAGCTCCCAATAATCACCGAAACTTAGCAGTGGTGGGAGACCAGTGGGGAATGGGTCAGTCATGCAGTTTCCAATACAGTTTCTAATACAGTTGGGGCAGGGTAGGACTCATCAAGGCTCTCACTACTAGTGTGGATGACTGGTTGATACTCAATAAAGCTTCCATGCTTATAGCAGTGAAATTTGTTGTAAATAAATTCTGGAAACAACCCACATGCCTATCAACTAAAGAATGGGTAAAGATGTGATATTTTTACACAGTATAGTATTATTCAGCTATAAACAGGATGAATTTAAGTCTTTTGCCAGTAAATATATGTAACTAGAGAATATACTCTGAAGTGAAATAAATCAGACCCACATGTGCAAACATCATATTGTCTCCTTAGTGTGAAAACCTGAAAGAGAAAAATGAAATCTGAAGGGTACAATAGATACTGGGAAAAGGGAATGAACGTATTCAAAAGGAGTTACTGAGTTGAGGAGAAGAATAGGAGAGGGAGTGGGGGAAAGAGACTTATCTATGTATGTAGAAGGATGGTTTGGACAACTGTGCTGAGCATTTCTGCTGGTCTATAGAAAGAAGCAGTTAAAGCTTTAATTTGTTTTGTGTCCTTTTACAATTGCTTGTACTTTTTCTTTTCTCCATTTCTTATATGTTTCTTTCTTCTTAGATTTTACATCCATTTATCTGGTAATATGAATAACTGGTTAGAAGTCAACACTGCGTATTTTAACAAATACTGTGAAATTCATGTTACTTTGTTAAGTGAAATTCTATATCACTTGTAATTTTTTTGTTTTGATTCTAATTTGCCCTTTTTTTTTACAAAATAAAATATTAAACACAAAAATAAGAAACAAAGTGTCTGTGTAGGTGGTGGGTGTTGGCTGGATTCACCAGGATCCCATGAGCCCCCCATAATCCTCCTAAATTCTTAAAAGGTTGGATGAGTGTCAGACAAGCCCATACCTGCACACTTGGGGCTAAGGTTCAGTGCTTACCAGAGTCCTGCAGACTATTTAAAGTCCTCCAAAGTTCTTAAATGGTTGGACCATGCACCACGACAGCTCTGAGCCTACGTGCACTGGGCCCCCTGATCACAGCTCACTGGAGTTCCCCAGGTCACCCAGAGTCCTCCTAAGTTCTTAAAAGGTTGGACCAATACCAGCACAAGCTCCTAACAAACATAAGTTGAGACAAATTTTCTGTTACCTCTTTTATGGTGCTTGGAGCAATGTAGGTTAATTATGTATATTTGAAGGATATAATACATAAGAACTATAAATGCTCCTTTGATACTCACTTCTTCTGCTCACACTTTTTTTCTTATGCTTTATTTCTCTTTTTCTTTCTCCTGTCTATTTCTAAGGGAAGCTCCTGACACATCTTAAACTTTCATACAAGGAGCAATAGCCCAGCTAGAGAAAGGATAAACCATATTTCCTTTCCCAGATTTTTAGGCTTATATTTATGTTTATGCAAAGGTGAGTGACAGTAGGATGAATTTATTTCTCTAGGTACTGGTCTACTAACCAAGCTCATCATTCATGCACTAGAGAGCTAAAAACCTTCAGAGACCACAGCTTCAAGCAATAAATGAATACTTTTACTTTCAGGTTTAATTTCTGGTTGATTTTTTAAAAAACATTTAAAATAAGTGGGCTGCTGGCAGGATAAAGATGATGACAGGTGATTTACTCCACAATTTCCCACAGCTAGTTTGAAATTTTTATTTTTCCTTATGACAAAGGAGAAGCAATACTTAAAAGCATAGTTTTATACTTCCTATGCTTTCTGCATGAATAACATCAAAAAGGACTTTTCTACATCATAATTTCAACAAGAGCAATAATAACTAGAATCCACAGTATATATAGTGATAGTTACTGTGTGATTGAGCTTGTCATTGACATTGTTCATCAAATTAAAGGCAGACTATACATAATATGTGTTTCTTATTGGGAAATGAGTTCTTTTTTACCCTTTCATTGGTTTAGCTTAGATTAAATTTATATGGATCTTGACTTATATTAACATCTCTGTTCCAGTCTTCTCTCCTGACTCTTCCTGATTTTGACATATAAACAAACTGGTTTATAAATATCAGTATCACCAGAGAATAGATGTTCAAGTACAGTAACATTAAACTGCCAAATGATATCCACAAAGTGAAACTCAGGAATCAGCCAAAGACACATTTATTTGGCCCAGAATCAAAATGCTTAAAATATGTACAGTTATTTCAAGGAGAAATAAATTTAAATTTAAAAAATATCAAAACAATACATAATCTGTGTATAAAAATTACATGTAATGAAACTTCATTTTTGCTAATCTAAGTAGTGGTTTACCCTATGTGTCTGTTTTCACACAGAGCAGATCAACAACCATTTCCTTCCACACTAGCCAAAGAAATGCCATAACAGAGGATGAGCTACAAATGTTCTCAGGATGCAGACTTTCTAGGCAGTTACTAGACTTGAAGCTCAGAAACTGTGTACTGTCGTTTTTTTAAAAAAAGCACTGGGTTTTAATCCAGGCCCTTTACAATGAGCTGTATTATTCTCATCCCAGTTATTTTATTTTATTTTAAAAAGGCAAGAAAACAGAAATAGATAACAAGAACAAAGACAAAAACAAAGCAACATAAAACAATAAAAGTGGCACAGAATTTCAAATCAAGAATGGAAAGTTAACAATGATTGTTATATTATGTATTGTTATCATTAAATCTCTTGTTCAGATTGCCAGCGATAGGCATGCAAGACTGACCAAACAATTAAACATTAACTCCTCCTTTTAATAAACCTTGACAAAGGATCTCACAAATTTCTAAGTTGCTCAGGTTGGGCTTGAACTTTCCAGCCCCTACTTCAACCTGCCAAAGTGTTGAAATTTTAGGAGTGCACCCCCGATCTGTCATAGTTTAAACATGATTCACAGGATAAAATGAAATCCTTTGGATGCTTCTATCCTTGCCAAGACAAAATCAATACCATCTGCAGCAAATCAACGTCCTATTCTGAGATCATCTCAATAAAAGATTTCTAAAAGTCGTGTGATTTTAAAATTCATGGAGTCTATATATCTTTAGTTTCTTTATAACAAACCACTACATTGGGAAAGAGTGCAGGAAATTTAGCTAAAAAGATTCTGGGGAAATTATTTGCTGACACACAGCACAGCTCGACAAAATAATTTATGATAAAAAGAAATCATACAAGCTTCCAGCATCTCACTACACAAAAGTACCAAGTAGAAATACTCCATTCAAAGATTTTTATTTTAATTTAGGCTCCAATGCAAAATTCCAGGAAGTACTGCAACATATCAGTAAAATGCCTGCCTTATTGAATTTCTGAAAGAGAATACTGATTTTTTAAAAATGAATTTAATTAACATGGCACACTTTCTTTCAGTTAATATATTCACATCACCATTGAAAACAAATAAAACATACTAAAAATTATTCTGTACCCTAAAGATAAAGTTTTAAAACAATCTTTTTGGTTTCCTATTTAAAAATTATCTAGCATATCTTATTATGTATTTATAGTTGTACAATCAAATTTTTCACATCAATCATAAGATCCCATAATTTTATAAAATAATCTAAATTCTTACATGAAATCTCCTACTATTATTCCAACTTGGTCATAAAAGTTAAAAAAATACACATACCTCAACAAATATAAAACATGGGATGATGGAATAACTTCTTCGAGTGTTGTTTCCTACAGCCATTTCTCAGACCACCTAACAAGACTGCGCCGTCTAAAACTTTCCAGGCTGAAATAGAAATAGAAATAGAAATAGGTTGCATGGTGTGATAGCCATATGTTGAAAAGTCCCTTAGGTACGTATATAAAAATGTCAGTTACTGTCTAGGTAAACAAACTTGGAATAAACGATGTAAAATAATGATCTATGAGGCAGTCAAGCAGACTAATAATCATTGCAGAGAAAAGCAAATAATATATATAGCTATGAATAGGTATCAGTGCCAAAATCTCTAGTAGGGAGGTCCCTTGGGCACAGTGGTATAGCAAATAGAATTCTAATTTCCTAGAACTGCATAGTGCCTTAACCCAGTAGTCTGCTCTCGAGACATGAAACAGAGTCTGGTGTAAAATATTTGTTACTTTTTGTTCTGTATGAAACTCCCCTAAATTGGGCCTAATCCTCCCATTTTGTAACCTTGTTTGCCCATGCTTGTTTCCTTGTACCCTTGCCTGTCCCGTTGGGACCAACATTCAGCACAGGCACTCATCGCCGACTTCCTTCACCATTATTTGCCCTTGCTTCCCTGACTATGAAGCCATGAACTACTTTGGATTAATACATCACCCATCTTTCTCTCTGGATGCCTCCACCCAGTGCATGTGAATCAAATATGAATAAAAACAATAACACCCTCTCTGAACTTACAGGAATTGATTGGTTGGGCAAAAGCAGATTACTGTTAAATGTTTTATTAAACATCCCTGTCCTCCTTTAAATTGAAAATATACCTGTCACAGGAAATAAGTTAACTTTTGTTCTTTTTTGTAACAGCAAAGAAAATTTTAGACTTTTAAGAAACTTGGAATATAAAAAGAGCTTTTCCACAATGCCTTTTATGCTCTATTGAAAGCAATGATTCAAATGGCTCATGGAGCTGTTCTACACAGTTATTCACTATTTTTCACCTGTGCAGTTTCTGCATCAATCCTACAAATAGTTCTTGTGGGCTGTGATATGAAGTGTGACATTGGGATTATTTGTCTATTTGAAGGCCAGCAGCATTTTTGAAGGTGATGATTAATGTTAATGCCTTTAATTTATTTATCTCTTTATTAAGTCATCCTTATCATTTTGTAAGATCAAACTTTACACTATATTTTTTCTTTTTTCACTCTATTTTTCTTTGTAATACAGATTGATAAACTTCATTTTTGCAGATTCATATATGAATATAAAATATTTTGATCAATTAAGATTTTCACATTTAGTATTGTATTATGTGCTGCATATGTCCCTACCAATCACAATATTTAAGTTATTTTTAGGCAACATATTTTTAATTAAAATTGATTGCTATGTACTATAAAATAATATACACAACAATGGCCCTTCTACTTAGCACTTGAGAACTAATATTTCTACATTAACAAAGAAATCTACAATGTATATTTACACATTGACTTGGTTTGACAATTATATTGCTTTTATTTTTATTTTAAACCAAATGTCTTTGGAATTAACTTATCAGGAGCCAGGGATTTAGCTCAGAAACATTAGCACCTGCATGTCAAGTATGAGGCACTGAGTTCAATTCCCAGTACCAAAACCAAAAAGAGAATTAATTCGTCAACATATGCAGTTCACACAAGTTTTGTTAGCATCAGCTAAATATAGTACAATAAATGTGAAAAGAAAAATTTTACAAAAAACATTAAACATCTAGTATTCTATATAACTTTTCCAAATAATGAGGATCAGCAATAAAATACTAAAGACAAGATGTGCCATATCATATACAACCTAGTTCTCTGTGTATGTGTGTAGGAGAGAGAGAGAGAGAGAGAGAGAGAGAGAGAGAGAGAGAGAGAGAGAGAGA